ATAAAAACACCCAGAACGCACACTGCAGGAAATGAAAATAACGCCAAAAATGTTGAACCAGTTTGGCAAAGCCTGATCTAGGGAGCTCAGAGGTAAAATCAAGCCCGTCACTATGCAAGAACCTTCCAAGAGAAAGTGTAAGAATTAGTACAACCAAGACTTAGACCGTAACACCACTCACGGTCATCGATCCACAAATGGATCTCCCAGTTCAGCCTAAACTATACAAAAATCAGGAACTTCACAGCCAAAAATAGGTGCAGATTTACCGACACCAAATGTAACCTAAAACACTGAACACAACCCAAAAAAACTACACTCAATAACCAAAGCTCAGTTCTGATTCACTTATACAAACCAACATATTAATACAATCTAAGATTGGAATGAAACCCTAGAAGAAATATGAAGAAAAATCGCCTCACACAGAGAGAGAGAGAGAGTAAAAAAAATCAATAAAACGAAAAAACCAGAATGACGCCTTGTAACCCAAGTGAAAATAATATGATTTTTCCTCAATTGTTGATTAAGATCAACGGTCCATAATGCACCAAAGAAACACGAATCCGAGACATGGTCAAATGACCAATGAAATCACGCCAAGTGGACAGGCCAAAGAAAAACGTTTTTCACTTTCAAAAACGGGTTTTATAACCACGTTCTTACAATCTTCACCTTGGTTCTGAAACTTCTCACACTCTCTAGTTGCTACAATGCAAGTGACGGTAATTTACCCTACATCATCACCCATGTATCTGGAAATGATTAACAAGTATCAATATGCGGTAAAAATAAACAAGATCTAAACTTATTCACAGATAGAATTTTGGTTCCCATATTAGATGGATTTACATCCGTATAGATTTTCTCAAGAATAATCTCATCACATGCAATTTTCTTATGTATAAAATGGTACGTCACCTCAATATACTTGGATCTCTCATGATAAACAAGTGTTTTTGCATAATAGTAACACACTTTGACTATCAGTGAAAATTGTAGG